GAGCTGAGGGCGTAAATAACGGCGGGGGGGAAGGCCAGGGCCATAAAATGGCGGCACCTTCCTTATCTGACCAGCAATCGAGGCCCTGATATCTTTTTCGAGATAAGACAAGGGTGAGGTGTGGATGTCGACACCACAACTTGCTACTGCATCAGATAAAATTCTGGAAACTTGCCCTGCTGCGAGCCAGCACCTGCCCGTGGCGGGGAGGGGGCCCTGCCGAGTCCCCCTGTCCCCCTGCCCTGTCCCCTCCCGCCTGGTGACGGCTCAACGGCCCCACTCCTTCATCAATGGCCACATTTATCCAAAAAGCACAAGAACCAGGCTGTGCAGCAAGAAAGGATGTTGCGGACAGACCCCCTAAAACGTTGGTTTGCGTCGACGTCTGCAAATGAATGACTGAACAAGCAAATGTGCCGTCGTGTCTGTGCTAAACGTGAAATGCTTCAAAGCTCATCAGTTAATTACTTTACTTGCAGTAAACAGGCCTCCATGATGCCTAGGCACGGTTTCTCCTTACAAAAATCAGCGTAGGCATATGCTTGACAGTCCTAATATTAAGATTAAAAAAAATAATAAATACAGAATTTGCTCCCTTGGTCCTTCAGCTGACACAGGTACTGAGCCACCGGCACCCCCCAGCGCTTGCTTTCTCCCAGCCTCTGGGATGCTGACTGAGCAGGAGGCTCATCTGGCTGTCAGAACATTAATAAGTCAGCCATGGTTTACCTATTAAACCTGGGATTTAGCACTGGTAGATAAAGGCAGGTTAACAGATCATCCCAAAGGTAAGCAGGTCATGTCACTCCACTGCCTATACCTAGACTTTACCAGGACATTTAGATGCAGGAATGGAATTATTCTGGCATTTCCATGACAAAAACTTGCCTGGCTGTGTAATCCTTTCTTCATTTTCTCTTTGAGGACTGGTGCTGCACCAGAAACTCCCAAGTAAGTAGAGTGATTATAACACCATTGGCTGGAGAGGAGTTCAGGATTCACAGGTTGAGGCTTGGGAAACTGGGGAGATACGTAAGAGACAGGCTGGGCACAGGTTCCCACCATGGAGCTCACCATCGTGGGGCTCCAGCTTAAGAATGAATGCTTAGGGAAGGATGGAGACCTCAAAGTCCCTGCTCCCTGCTCTCAGTGAGCTCTGACCTTTCAAGAAAGACAAGGAACTACTGGAGAGAGTCCAGTGGAGGGCTACAAAAATGATCAAGGCACTGGAGCATCTCTCTTATGAAGAAAGACTGAGAGACCTGGGTCTGTTTAGCCTGGAGAAGAGAAGACTGAGAGGGGATCTCATCAATGCTTATAAACATCTAAAGGGCGGGTTTTCAAGAGGATGGAGCCAAACTCTTTTCAGCGGTGCCCAACGACAGGGCAAGAGGCAACGGGCACAAACTCTGACACAGGAAATGCCTTCTCAACATGAGGAAAAACTTCTTTGAAGGTGCCAGAGCACTGGAACTGGCTGCCCAGAGAGGTTGTGGAGTCTTCTTCTCTGGAGGTGTTCAAAACCCATCTGGATGCGTTCCTCTTCAACCTGCTCTAGGTGAACCTGCTTGGGCAGGGGGGTTGGACTAGGTGATCTCTGAAGGTACCTTCCAACGCCTACAATCCTGTGATTCTGTGACCTGACTAGGTTCCCACTGACCAGCCCAGGCTGCATCTCCACTGCTTTTCAGTGTTGGTCACCTTGTGGAGACTTGGTGGCAACAGCTAAAGCTCCCATGGGAGTGTCTGGTAAACTCAGTGTCTCAGAAACATTCCTCTTCCCTATATCCACAGACCCAAAGGCCTGCTCTAGCTTCTCTGAGGAAAAGACTCAGCCTGCTATAGATCTGCATGGTGTTTGTTCAAGCTGCCAGCTTTTACTCAGTCTCCCTGAGTGAGCCTGTCCGGCCCAAGTATGACCTTCGAGCACGTGTGAGGACATGCATGAGCCCTGGCTGCTTTGGTCTAGAAGCCTGTAAAGCACAGTGTTCTTTCTCACCCTCTCTAGATCCACCAAAGGGGTTTAAATTAACTCTCAATGAGCCCTTTCCCTTTTCAGGGAAGTTTAGGCACCTGACTAGAGCTGACAAACCAGTACTTATCCATTGGCCACCTTGGTTAGAAAAGCAAAATACTTTGGCTGGAAATGCACAGAGATGCCTACGTGCTTTAGAAACATGTCCTATTCACAGGGTTTCCTTGATCCTTGACCTTGGCAAAGGTCAGCAGAGGTTGCAGTTTTGTTAGGCAGAGCGTTTTCTGGAAGGCTACTGCCCCATTCCTTTGGAAATGCTGTTCACATGCGAGCCAGAGAGCACCAAATACTCTTCCTATTGCCTTGTGCCAGGAAAGAAGAACAGAGCAGGGCGAGCTCTCCGCTCTGCTCTTTGCTTCTGCACAGCAAACGTACACTGCCCCTGCAAGTTTTTTTGACAAAGCATTGCCTGATCTCTTCAGTAGAGAAAGCCAACCTATGGTGTTAGCAAGGCCACCTTCTAGACACTCAGGTTTTATCACTGCCTGCATTAGACCTGGGAATGTCCCAGATTCTGCACTGATCTCATTTGCTGTTAAACAGCACTTCCTTTCTGTGGGCAAACACAACCTTTACACTTTGGGATCCTTAAGTTTTTCTTAGCTCATCAGCTAAATCATAGGACAGAAGTTTTACAGCACATTGAAATACATTTGGTTATGAAATCATTAGCAACGCTACTGATCTGACCTGTAATTTTATTAAAGATTAACTGTTATTATTAACTGTTATCTGTTGAGTCCAGTGAGCGGCTGCTTGTAAATGGAAGTTTGTTTGCCTGACATCTGGGCGCTTTCTGCTAAAGTGACTGAAGGAGTTGCAACTTTGTTACGCACAGAACTTGCACGCTGGCTTTCCTATTTTAAGTGAAAGCCTAGGAAAAGAATTCCTGCATTCAGCTGATAAACACAGGCACTGTATTGTTGTCATTTTGTTGCAATAAATGGTAACAAAAAATGATAAAGAAAAAATTCTGTTAAAATTAAGGATATCCAATTTTGAGATACATTAATTTCCCCTACCAGTGTCAGGATGAAGCTTCCCTTCTAAGCAAGCTAGCTGCACGTCCTATCCTCTATGCAATTCCATGGGGCAGGCATCCTCATTACCTGCAGCTTTGTATGGGTCTAATACGATTCTTCAAAGGGGTACATGGACCAGAAGTGCAGAACCGTTTGTATAAATAGGAACCTGACATCAAACCATTTTGTCTTCTGTATATACATGTATACAGTGTAAACCTATAGCTATGTTTTTTAGGAATTAATTATTATGAAGAAGAAAATTTTAAAAGCATCGATCAAGCAAAAAGAAGTTTTAAACCATCTGAGGGTTAATTTAGCCATATAATGAATGCATGTGTCCCAGGAAAGGCACTAGAGTGGGTACCCGCACTTTCCGGCACCTGCCACCACTTCCTTCCATGAGAAGTGCTGCCTTTGTAAAACATTTCCTGCTTTTAATGCCTCCTTGTACTTACAAGGTTGCAACTATCAATTTCAGCTGTAAATAGAGGACACTTTTTCTTATTTTTCTTCCCCACCTATAATTATTTTTGATGCCCGATTTATTATCATCTTCCTTTCTGTTGTCAAACAATAACTGTATACGGGACAGCAAGACTAGAATCAAGGCTTTCAGACTTGAAGAGCTTATTTTTGGGCCCCGAAATCATGCAGGGATCTGAAAAGTGTTAACAAGTTGTGTCTCACACAGTCTCTGCATGTGAGACGTGGTATTGTCCTTACACTCCTCATCTTCTTCTGGGGTTTGGCACCTTCTGCCTTCCCGCGCTGCCTGTCAGCCTGAGGGACGGATTTCTGAGTTTCAGCTTGCATTTCCCCTGCTCAGTGTATTTGCTAAGAGAAAAACTTCTTCCTGACACGGCTAAGAGGAAATCATATTCTTCTCTAGCACGAAGGGCAGTGGGGATGGAAGAGGTATTTGTCTGGGAGGTGTGTAAAAGGGAGTTACGTGGAACGCAGCACTGCAATAACCCTGCTTCCTCTTCCTGGTCTGTTTCACTAGCTCACCTCAGTGTGAAGAGGTGGTAGGACAACTGAATCACAAGCTGTTTTAGCTAAAATCAGGTGATGCCAAGATCAGGTTTTGCTTAAACATTTTTGATGACATGGAATCGGTTCTCCAAACATCACCTGCCTGCCTTCCCTGACAGGCATGCAGCTGCCCACTTTTGTGTATGTACGTCCCTTGACAATATGTTTTCTTTTCCACCTACAAAACCTATCTTACTTAGCCTTTCCTATTTCAAATAACAACTTTAAACGAAGAAAAACATCACTGCAGTCAAGTAAAAGACAGAGACATTGGCATTAGAGGAAAATTTAGAGAATTGTTGGTATCTTCTATTAACCATACAAGTTGATGCACGTATCTCACAACATTTGAACCAATCTTTTTAAATGATTGAAAACTTCTTGTAAAAGGCTGCTCATCGGGCTTTCCAAATGCTTTTCTTCTCTATGCCAAGATTAATGGCTTTTTAAAATCATATGTTATTCAAAAGATCTCTGAAGGTAAATCAAACCTTCTTTGCATTTGCAATACATGTTTTTCTTGCTTTGAAACTGTTGACTTACATAATTCACCACTAACCCTTTAATTCTCTTCATGTCTTGAGTCATTTCTGATTTATAGCAATAAAAGACTTCTTGGGGCATTGTTTTGGATAGAATGAAGGTTTGATGCAAGAAAATAATTTGGAAAAACAGGCACACCATTTGCATGTTTCACTTGAAAGCTATAATAAAACGGAGATGTTAGATTCTTTTGCTCTAGCTGCACTGCTAGTCCGTTAGAGGCTCTATTGCAAAGAGCCTCCCCCAAAAGTTTTCTCAGCTCTTGCAAGTGCAGACTCAGTCTTCTTGTTATAGGGGTGGTGCTTTGCACGTATAAGCACATCCAAGCAAGACTCCCAACTGGACAAAATCCAACTGATCAGACTTTTTGCATAGAAATAATTTTGCACGTATAAGCACATCCAAGCAAGACTCCAGCTGGACAAAATCCAACTGGTCGGACTTTTTGCATAGAAATAATTGATTCTATGTGAAAGCACAAATCTAACAACTGAGAGACTTCACCATAGGGAGGAGACTGAGAATTAATGATAAAAATCGCTGGTTTGAGTCACACATGCAATTGTATAGAAAACCAGAGAGTAAATACACAGTACACTTTTCTCAGGAAAATCATACCTAAATGCTGTGTGTCATGGATTTGCATGAAGGTGCTGGGCTGCTTCTCTTTGGAGCTGTCTCACCTCACATGTGTAAGCTAAGCTTATGGACCGTTTTTAAAGAAATACTGTCCAGAGAGGTTTTTTACAGGATGACTATGATGTAAGATGTGAAAGAAATACTGTCCAGAGAGGTTTTTTACAGGCTGACTATGTATGATGTGACATAAGTTCTTTGCTTTGGCAGGCATATATTTTTCTTATTCTAAGCTTGAGTTACAATGCGCACAAGCACTGTGCTGTTTGGAAACTAAAGGGATGACAAAAAGAAGAGGAAAAGTCCATAATGATATTGTGGTAGCACCACAGGAGAAAAAAAAAAAAGAGAGAAAAGGCTTTTATTTTACAAAATTAAGTCTCTTTAGAGCTTTAGGACACATTTTCTGTATGGAGGAATACATTTAGTAGAAATATATTTATTAAATAAATAGGAGGATTGAAACCTGTAGGTACGCTCTTGCTGTAACCCCTCCTTCTGTCAAGTGGACACCTTGAGCTTGCCTCCATGAGCTTATGCGATATTCCATAACATTTCCAGAGGAGGAAAGACCACACAGAGCCCTACAGTCCTTTATAAACACAGGACAAAACTGCCAAGAGCAGACCAAGAACAAGCAGTAGGTATTGAAGGGATGACAGATTTCCTGTATAGGTGACTTTTACCAAAATACATACATGCTGAAATATATGCATATAAAATACTATATGTATATATGTGGAAAAAGTATTAAAAAAAAAGCCCAACAACTGACATCCTCCCCTAATATTTCACATACCTTTGATGTTCAACAGATGGCAGACTTCTATCCGCCACTGGTAGTTACTTCCAAAGTAAAAACTGTATTACACATAATACAGCAGTATGCAAACAAATGGGATAAGCTGATGAAGAGGAGTAGACAGCAGGAGAAAAGCAATCCAATAAAATCAGACCAACTTTGAAAAAACCATCTCCAGTACTGCTCTGTGAACTTGCTGATCCTGTTCTTGGGACTTCAGCTGAGCTGATGAGACGAACAGTTTTCTATGGGTTGTAAGCTCTTTTGAGAAGGAAATGCTTTTCTTAAGACTCTGGAAAAAATGTGGAGATATGGCTGAAAATAAATAAAATGGCTGCTATTTGTGATATGCCGTGAGGCTAACTCCCCGTGAAGTTGAGCAGGTGCCTCATTAGGGCTGCACAGCCAGTATTGATAACGTGATGGCACAAACCACACTTCTCCTGTGTAAGCAGAGCCTGGGGTTTGGGCAAGGGCTGAATATAGCTCCGAAGGACAGCCTCCTTCTGCTCCATAGTAAGTTCCATCCAAGTATCCGTGCTTGTTCCAAGTGAAAATCTTCCTTCCCGTTCATGTTTAACCTACCAACAACCATATCCTTTGGCTCCCATGAACTAGAATTTTTAGTCCTTTTCCTTCTTTCAGGTGTTGACACCTATTCAAGCCCAGGTCAGAATTCAGGTGACCTTGTAGATTTGTCGTCAACAATGATCACAAAGTATCACAAAGCCTGAGCAAAAACGGACTGTCAGTGCCTCCAGCATAGCTGAGGAACCTGACCACCGGGATTCCCAGCTGCAGGCAGCCAGGGGAGTTACAGTTCTCTGCCTCATCAGACATCAATAAATGTTCTTTATGCACCTCATCTGCTGCAACGTATCCTTTGGTCCATTACTGTAAACTGCCTGCTTTTAGCTCTTAACCCAGGGACACAAATTCCTTTGGGCAACAAGCTCTCAAGGAGGGAAGCACAGATTGCTTATGCTTTTCAGGATTTTCATCTTAGACTATATAAACTCTATGTCACGGTTACACTGACAATTCCGGAGAAAAAGGATTGTTCAATAATGTGAAAAAAAAAAGAACTCCCAATTCTCCATGCATAGTTTCCTTCTCTGTGGAGCTTAGACCAGCTGTTTCTGTGCCAGCCTGAAGTGCAGTCTAGGAGAGGAAAAGGCACATAAAATCTTGCTGTACTACTTCGAACCTAATCTCCATTCGAACCTAACCACCGTTTACTAATGCCCTCTTTTTTTTCTTTTCTTCTATGACTTCTGTTCCCTCCCTGCAAACAATGAGGCAGGTGCCTGCCCGGCTCATTTTTTGGTCTTCCTGGCTGCCCCACATCAAGGCTGCCATGTCAGAAGCCTGTTTGGGACCTTACCAAAATATTTGATTGCTCTTTCTGCTAGAGAGCATGGAATTTGCCACTGGCTGGAGGATGCAGTGAGTATCTCCATCCTGACCAGAACAGAAGGAAGTTCAGAGTAGGGCTTGAAGGAGCCTTGGTTCAGTCTGGGAGAACTGATGGCAAAATCATGGCAAGTTGCCCAAATGGCTATTTGAAATAAATGCCCATTGTTGTCAAGTTTCAGCACTTTTTTTCTTTTCTTGGGAACATCTGCTTTGGAGGTGAAATTCAAAATTATCAAACAATTCTCTGGGCTTTGATGGCTGTGCTGGTTTGTAACTGATTAGTTCAACTGTCAGTCATTCAAAGATTAATCCACTTCTCTTTCTTCGCCACTCTGTTCTTTGTCTTGACCTTATGTGAGGGCCTAATGCCCTTGAAACTGAAGCTAATTTTTGGTGGTTCATCACAATATAAACCCTTACTAGATCTTGCTGATGGATGGGTAGACTTCTGAAAACTATACACTACTATGCAGGAAAAAAATTCATTAAAATGAGGAAAGGACCAGCCTGGGTAGGTTTGTATGAGCAGCAGAGATCAATGCATGAGTGAATTTTATTGAATGCAGATCATGTGTTTAGAGTCTCAGTCATCCTTCATGACACTAACATATGCTAATGGAGAAAGGAAAGCATCTGTAGCGTGGAGTTTTGCTGGAAAAAAGCTAGGAAGAGTGTATGTAAGATTGCTTTCAGAAAAGCATCATAGAGACTATTCTTTGCTTCCTGTTTTTTGTGTGTAGGATTGCTGCACGCTGATACCAATCTCCTGTTTACCTCTGGTTTGTACATAGAATCCTCCAGAATGAAACACCACGATCTTCATATTTATTTCAGTGCATGGAAAACTGCAGGAGGGATTGTTAACAAGCACTTTGTTAAAATATACTCTAAAATAATCTTAGGGAAGGGTAAAATCTCCTGACAGGTTACTTGCATTCTTTAGATATGAATGTGAACCATAACTTGATGCTTTTTAGAAATCTCTCCTTATAACATGGTAGTATCCAGAACATAGAGTGGTATTAGAAGACGCTAGAAGCGACTTGCAGAAATAACAGCATTTGTCTTTCTTACCATGTGTATTTCTCTGGATTTCTTGACAGGAAGGCCTTAAATCATGAACTTTCTAAACTTTTCAGTCAGATGTGGGACGTGGATGCTAATTGCCTTATGCCTGGGAAAGACTGCACAATTGATTTGCAGGTAACCGACTGCTAAGTCCCAGAAGGATTAACAGCAGTATGGTACTGTAGGAAAAGGTGTCTGCAAAACTGCCTTTTGCTAGTTAAACTTTTCGCTAGAGTTGCCTGAGCTTTGTCATTTCCCCTAATGACATGGGCAAGACTTCCTAGTGACAAGAATCACTTAGCAGAGAGAACAGTACAGAGAACACATTAATGGTCCACGATACCTGGATGCTGGTTACAAGTGGAGTCTCTCAGGTATCTGTTTGGGTCCTACAACATTTAATATCTTTATCAATGGTCTGGAAAAGGAGATGGAGTGCAACTTTTCCAGTTTTGCAGATGACAGCAAACTGTAGTGATGAAGTTGATATACTCAAGAGCAGGGCTTCTTCAGCTGGACCTAGGCAAGCTGGAGGAGTAGGCTAAGGAAGGACCATCACAAAATTCAACAAGGACAAATGCAGTCCAAACAGGATGCCCACAGAGGCTGTGAAATCACCATCTCTGGAGGTTTTCAAGACCCAACAAGATGACACCTTGAGCAATATGGTCTGCTTAAAAAAAACCTAGCAAAGCCAAACCTTGCCGATTTCAAATATCAGCTTTATGACATCTAGTTCCAGCTTGATGCCAGGAAAGAAGGAGACAGATACATTTGATGGATTTGGCCCCTGATAATCCCTACAGTATTGTGACTTAGGTAAATATAAGCCCAAGTGCCATCTAGTATACACAGAACTGGAAGACAGCCTCAGAATATGGCCTAAATGAGGTGTTCATGCTCATGCTCGTATTTAAAGACTTACTCATCAGATATTAACAGTATTGGCCCTTGGGGTACATCACTGGTGAATTGCCCCCAGCTGAACTTGGTGTCCCTAATCACAGGCCTTCAACCACAGACATTCATTCACCTTTCAGCCCACCACATCGTCCACTTTTCTAATCTGTACTTCATCAGTTTGTCTATGAGTCTGTTATGGGAGGCAGTGTCAGAAGCCGTGCTAAAATCCGGATAAGCAACAGTGATGCATCTGTGGCATTTATTAGCAACCTTCATCATCAAATACAAATTTAGATTTTGTGGCTCGATTTCATTGCAAGTTTTGTGCAAAGAAAGAAAGAAAGAAAACCCAACAAATCCAGTCAAATAAATCAACATAAGCAAGCTTGTGCATCTTCTTGCCTTCTACCTCTGCCAATTTGAACTATTTAAACACATAAAAGACCTACATATTACTCTTTGGTTTGCTACAGACCTGATTCTTGTGGTTTTGAACATGTTTTTGTTGGAGAAACAAGGCACGGCAAACAGATCTTAGGTTTGAACAACTGGGTGCAATTTTACCTTCAGGAAAAGTGCAACCAAACTGACTACAAGGGATGTTGTCACTCAGAACAAAACCAGGGTAAGAACAAGCAGGGCACCTTTGCAAATAAGACAAATGGATCCAGAGATAAAAGCTGTAGTAATGAATCAAGGCAAAACAATGCAATCATAGGCTCAACTGGTTTGAGCTTAAATTGCCCAGGTGTCTATAAGCAGAATAGTAGCATGCCCTCAACTCCAGCTTCTTTATTTGCAAAAACTATTTTAAAAAGTGGTGCTGGTGTTTACAGAATCACAGCACTGCTGAAGCTTAATTGAGATAAATGATCATGTGTGCTCCAAAGCACAGGTAAAAGGCTGTGCTTCAGCTATAGCACTCTGGCACAGCAAGAATGACTGAATCTTGGAATGCTCTTGAAAACCTGGAGTCAGAAAATGTATCTGTCTCGTCACATCTGTGCTGGAGATTATTCTGTTGTTTTGTTTATGCTTTCCGTCTGACAAAGATGACCAAGCTTTGAGCATCCAGTTCAACTGGAAGGGCTCAGTCAAGCCAACTGGAAGCATCTTTATCGGTGTCAGCCTGGAGTTTGAATTTCCCCTTTACACTGTAATTTTCCTGCTGGCTGAAAAAAGGGGTCACACGTGAAACAGTGAAGACAGAGGAACACGAACTACAGATGGTTATTTGCTATGGGCAACACATTGGAACAGGATACCCACTACTTCTCAGCACTGGTAGTGAAGACTAGTAGTTCGAGTCATCAGGCAATATTTCAATTTCTTTTTTTTTGGGACAGTGGGCAACACGGGACTGGACAGCAGAGTAAGATGATATGTTGTTTTATACAACTCATTTTGAGTAAAAATTGATGACTCACTCGCTTTTGGTCTGCAATGGAGTGTTTAATCAATAGTGTGCCATGGCTCAGTGTCTGACAAACCTCAAAATTACTGCTGCTCACTCATATTAAAGGCTGGATCAAACTTACATTAGCCTTCCATCGTGTATGATAACACCGTACTTTTCAGCAGATAATGGAATTTAGGAAAAGGCCACATTGATACATATATTTCTCTTTATTTTTTAGCTACAGCATATGTGAAAGAGCAATAACCACACATTGCTTACACTTTGCTTTCCAGACAGGAACTCTGATTTGGCACAAGGAGAACCACAGTACTTTTTTTTCTCCTCTCCTTATTTCATAAGAAATTAATTTCAAATGCATTTTTAAAATGACAGTGCCCTGGACACACAGGAAACACATACGGATGCAAGAATGGTTATTAGGTCAATTAGATCAAAACCAGGTCTATTACTGCATCAGCTTTGCCCAGGTTTTCTAGAAGCTGCCTCTGGCTTTGGTTTGTTGACGTAGGCTATAGTTAGGTCTCACCTAACTATAGAATTCCACAGTATAGGCACCTGTGTTCCCATCAGAGGCAGGGATGCCTGCAGTCACTTACCAGCTTGAGCAATCTGCATTAGGGTTGGACGAATGACCCTGCATCATCCATTGACTAGATCCCCAGGGACAATAGTTAAGATGTCACAGGTGACATTGCTCCTATTATGGACGTGGCACTGCTCCTTCTGCTGATGTGGACACATCTGCCCCAGTTCTTCCACAATGTGTTCAGTACTCCAATTGAAAGGAAGGTAATGCTTTTCCTTCTCATACCAGTGCAGAAACAGGAAAATGCTGAGATCCCCTGAGAGTGTGACACAGACCGGTGAGGTACTCACAAGCCATAAGACTTTTCTTGAACACTTTACTCACACTGCATTTGTCTGTTTGTTTTCCCGAAGAAGACCAGAAAAGATGACATACAGTTGTAGAATGTAAAACAGTAGAAAAGACCATTTGAAATAAAGTAACTTGGAAAGGAATAAAAACTTTACACTGAGAGATTTAAAATGTTTTCTGTTTCTTTAAGCTATTTTCCAATATTCCATATATGGTTCATCAGCCATAAGAATCTTTACCACCCGGGGAACTTGGTCCTAAGCTCCAATAAACCCTGTAAACCATTAAAATGCACTTGCTGGCCTTTATTTCCATACTTATAAAAGTGACAGAGAGCAAGCCAAGGGCTCCTGCAGCGGCTGAAACTACACAAGAGGCTTTTCTGGCCTCATGCGCAGGAGAAGCAACGGAGAGAACAGCAACAGAGGAGCAACTGATAGGCACCAATCAACAGGTTCACCCTTCCCTGCAGCATCAAGGGCTACTGAAGGACAACAAGAGAGTCCAAATGCAGGTGCTGGTGTATATTGGAAGCGTGTGGGATCTGAGGCAGATGGCAGAAATGGTACAAGAATCACTGAGCCGTCACACAGAGCACCTGCTCCTGGGCCAGAAACCAGCTCTGTGGAAGGTGAAAGGCCCCCAGTTTCCTTCAGGTTAGGGAACTTCCCCGCAGCCAAAGGCCCACAGGTCACGTTGCAGGCCGTGACTGCTCTTCCGAGTCCTTCTTCATCTTTGCATATGTGGCAGGGCAGAACTGAGAATACAGCTGAGCCAGGAAAGCCTGGGATGGGACCTCTAGCTTTGTCTCGTGGCTCAGTTTGTTCCATACGTGCACCGCGTAGGTGTTCTTAAGGAGCTTGTGAAGCTCCGAGGAGCTGATGGATTGAAAGAATGCTTTTTTTTTTTTTTCCCCAGACTACTTTAGTCTTTCACCTTCATAGTGCTTATCCTTGACAGCAAGTACTTAGGATTTTTTTATTTTATGTCTGAAGTATTTTGGGTGATTGCTCTGTGTTCAGTTTGGAGTATCACACTTACTGATGTCATTTACAAGTGTATGTGTGCTGACTTCGTGAGCACGCAAACCTCTTCTATGCAAACAGGAAAGCTTACATTGATTTGAAAGAGATGTGAAATGAAGCCCTGTGGAGGAATGGCTGTGTGAAAAAGGCCACGATTTAATTGCAATGAGCAACCCAGTCTTTGAAGTAGATAAAGGCCTGGAGATGACCATGAACTCTCCTGGGAAAAGCAGAAGTAAGAAGAAGCAGCTACTTGGTAGATAAGATAAACGGGACCGCATCCAGAAGAGGAGAGAATGTTGTTGCGCGTGGACAAGGGGTCTACACCAATTGTGTGAGCAGTCTAGTCATTTGAACAGAGATGAGAAAAAGACACTGACAGGCAAGGCAGCAGACCACAAACCTTGCGACAGGGTCACGGCAGAGCAGAACTCTCCTTGCTCTGCCTCAGGGCAGCAGGCTTAAATTATGCCTTGTCATTTATGAAACAGGCTTCTCTGTATTGTCACAGGGTCTTCAGTTCGCACATCAGAAACTACTGCCCTGTGGAGGAATGGCTGTGTGAAAAAGGCCACGATTTAATTGCAATGAGCAACCCAGTCTTTGATGTAGATAAAGGCCTGGAGATGACCATGAACTCTCCTGGGAAAAGCAGAAGTAAGAAGAAGCAGCTACTTGGTAGATAAGATAAACGGGACCGCATCCAGAAGAGGAGAGAATGTTGTTGCGCGTGGACAAGGGGTCTACACCAATTGTGTGAGCAGTCTAGTCATTTGAACAGAGATGGTAAGCCAATCGTACAGCTACCGCTAGCGCATGCTCTGCTTGCCTGTCTATATATACTTTGTAAAAACATAAATAAAGGGAGAACGATCATACTCATATTGAGGTTACATCGTTACTCCGGGTCCGTCTCCCACTCCTGACATCCTCCTCCTCCCGACACTGCCCATCTTTGTATCCCTCTCTTTCAAACACAAAATAAGGACAAGTCTTCCATATCACAAACCAGGGCTGATCCTCATTTCTGTTTGTCTGTATTGTCCATGTAATTTTTGCGTGCCAATTGGCAGGATATGCAGCATTTGACACACAAATGGCATACCTTCATGGTAGTGCACAACAAACTCTGGGAACAGCATTAGAGAATTTATCTACCATCTTCTAGAATTTAAGGTCATTCTGGACACGAGACATAGATGCAAAAAACCCTAGAATGATGAATAGGAATGCTCCTTATGTATATTCCTGGAGCTCCATCAATGTATATTGTGTAGAACTCTGCCTTGCTGAGAGTTTTTTCTCATGATGCACAACCTCTGTCCTTCCCCAAAACCAAACACAGTGCTAAGACCCCAGTGCTGTCAGCAGATCCTGTCAAGAGGCCTCATTCTCCCATGCTGCTGAACGAGCGGTTGCTGCATTTTGCAATCAACCACCTGCCCCTGCAGAGAGCCTGGCTCATTTTTCATTGTACTCTAGCATAGCTGTACTTTGGGATAGTGGGAGAGGAATTGATACAAGGAAACTTTGGAGGTGGATGCAGACGAAAAGGACAAGATTTGACTAGTCAAGGCTGCTTCCCAACCGTGCTCCCATGCCAAGTCCTCCCTTCTATCTCCTTCTACCATCTACCGATGGTGCTGGCTAAACCAATTGTCACCAAACCAGGATGCAAAGGTCATGCTGACTGTGACCTGCTCAGCTCTCCCAATGGAATCACCTGGTGATGGATATGCAATCTCCACCCTACCCTTATTTCTTCTCTTTCTCCTGCAAAAGGGAGGTATGGAGACGAAGAGATTATTAACAAGGCATCAACAAAAAGAGAAGTAATTTTAACTAAATTACATTCTCAGCATTATCATCAGCATTTCTGGCCTTCCCTCCCCTCAAAGGGAAGGAAAGCAGAACCAGCACCTCCTGGGCCCACTAGTGAGGCCCCAAAAGTCAACATGCAAAAGCACGTGACAAAACAGCAAGGAGAAATGTGGCATTTAGGGCAAGAGGAAACAGCCTCAAGTAGTGCCAGTGGACCTTTAGATTGGATATAAGGAAAATTTTATTCACTGAAAGGGTTATCAAGCATTGGAACAGGCTGCCATGGAAAGTGGTGGAGTCACCAGGCCTGGAGGTTTTCAAGAGACACGTAGATGTGGCATTTAGGGGCATAGTTTAGCGGTGGACTTGGCATGCAACACCAAAAACTTTAATCTGTAACCAAACAGACAGGCAAGAGGACAGAGAACACGGCTGGCACAATGCCATTTGTCATTCACCCCTGGCTCCAACTGGGTCACATACTGAACTCTCCACGTCGCCAGAAAATGACTTGTCAGAGCACTGCGAGGTGTCCGTACGCAACAGCACAGAGCCACCGCTCTCCACTAGGCACTGGGGCTTGCTGGAGAGAGCAGAGGCAGCCGACACACAAAGCACCACCTCCGGATTCCCAGAACATTTTCTTCTCCTGCAGGACAATGCCAGCGTGTGCCGTGGGTGCTACAGGCAGCAAAAGCACGTCTCTAATCTAACAGTGAGCAAGCTTCAAGGTTACAAGCCTATTTTTAGTAAGGGGAGACACTTCTACTGCAATCAGACTGATATATATTTAAAAATAAATTGCTGTGTTTGTAGCGGATAAGAGGATATTTTAGAGACTGCATTAGCCACTCAATGTATTTCACAAAAGAAACACAGGAAACGTGGTTCTCTACCTTCCTCTGAAAGTGCCGTTGCACAGAAACTGCAAATACTACTCACCTGTCCCTGCTTTCAAGACACCACAGAAGTCACTGCTCAGCTGGACAAGGTTTTCAAGAGGCTCTGAGAGTGCCTGTAACTCTATGGTCTGGTTTTTCTGAAACGAAATGGTGAAAGATGGAGTCTCAACACATGGAGAAAACAAGTCGATCAAGGAGGATGTGACATCATATGTTCAGTAACACAGTGACTGAAAGGAGGGTCATGCAGCAG